ATTTGTAGGCATCTCTTACTGCACAACCTGACACTCTGCAGTATTAATTAGCAAGATTGCTTTCCTGGAATTTGCATTTTATATGGAATTTATATTATTCGATTAAATATTTCATCTGAGAACCTTTGAATCTTTATTTTTATTCTTCAGTTAATATTTTTTTATACTTGCATTTGTAATTGATCTTTATCAATTTCATTGTAGTATTTGCTCAGGGATTTAATCAATATTCTATTATTGTTTTTTTTTATTTAAGGCCATTAAAGCAAAAATTGTATGTCTATGGGATGTCACTCTTGTGTGTATTTTTCTAAATTCATCAATAATGAATCTACTTTTATAAACAATATTTACCATTTTGTGTAAATATTTCTTTACGTTTTCGCCAACTAAAATCTGCGTTACTAAAACGTATCTAGTCGTTCATAACAACAATATATCAAATATTTACTTACTGAATGAATGTGTCATTTATGAAATGTGTATGCGAACGCTTTCGCAATGCACATATAATCAGATTCATACAACTTACATTTCCCGATAACACGATGTCTATTATTCCGAATCACGGTTCCGTTAATTTTGGTTTTCGCTTTTAGTTTGTGTTTACTTGGGTCTATCTAAGCACACCATGGCTTCCAATTTATTCGAACTATTATTCGAATGCCGAAGTGCAAGCTTTGAATTTAACATAAACGGTGTTCCAAAGATAATAATTAAAATACTGATTGTGTATTGATTTTCTTGATTATGTTCTTTAATTTTAATTATAAAAAGTAAATATATCTTTTTCTCGTAACCATTTTTCATTTTTTCAAACTTTCCTCTGGAATATATATTCTAATATCTTGTGACTTTTTTTTTTCAAGTCAGATAAAATATTTAATATCGTATTAAATAACCTAACAAAGATTATAGTAAGCTCAACATAGAAGGGAAAACCGTACATGTTGTTTTCAAAATTCCAACCAAATAGAACAAAAGAATTAAACAATTTTTTAAGTCTATGAACGCATATAGCACAAAACTTGCAGGATGCGACAAAATTCAGGAGGTGATTGCTCGTATGAAATTAAAATGGGTCTTTTCTATAACAAAATTTCCTCAGCCCACCCCTTTCCGAGATATCACCCTCTTAAAAGGTGGTGACTAAAATTGAGTTTTTATTTTTTTTCCTTAAATTTCAGTAAAGCTAGAAACTTGAAATTCTGTAATTTTATTTTGGCTAGAGGTGGTCATTTCCAGCATTTATTATGAATTGTATTACATTTTACATCTTCACTGTTTTCCACTTAATTTATTAAAAAAATTATAAATTATGGTGTTTATTTTTTTTTTCTCTGCAGCTATTGGTTTTGGAAAAAAAATTTAAGAATAAAAATTTTTTTTAAATAAAACAAGGATTTTTAATTTTATTTCATAAATCTTTGTCTCGAAAAAAAGTTTTGATATGAAATAAAGTAAGGGTTGCTAATTTCACCCTCTATAATGTAACAGGAATATTGAAAAAGTACCCGTGGTTAGTCCTTAGCTTTACTGAAATTTTAGAAAAAAATAAAAACTCAATTTTGGTCACCACATTTTAAGGGTGATATCTTGGAAAGAAGTGGACTGACGAAATTTTGTTATAGGAAAGACACATATCTTAATTTCATACGAGCAATCACCTCCTGTCGCATGAATTAAGAAACGCCCTGTGTATTGTAAATGAAATCAAAGTAATTAAAAATATAATATTTAAACAAGAAAACCAAAATGTTAATAATAGAAGAATAATTAAACAAATAAATATCACCAAATATACCAAAAATTATCATAAACCCAAATGTCAAATTGATAGTGGAAAATGGTTTCAATATTTTTATTGGTAAAACGCATCACGTACAAAATATTACCTTTATTAAAAAATAAAATAGGTACCTATTATTTTATAATTTTTAAAGAAACCAAATAACATTAGTTATGAGATTATTAAGATAAATTTATACTAATTATTTATCGTGTTTAATATTATTAAAAATCAGAAACATCATTGGAACTATCCAGATATCAAACATATTTTCATGGCAATGAGTTAACTTGTAAAGAGAATTCAACAAATTGCTAGGTCGGAATTTTTTAATTAATTTAACTTGAAAAATCATTAAAATCAAATAAATTAAATTAAAAAAATAGTTAGATGTTTGTGTTTAAGTTAAAATGACCGTATAGTATACGGCGGCGTATAAATCGCTTAAAACGGCGCTCAGAGTGTGCATAATTCGTCCAGAGTCCATTAAGTAGCTTAGTTCAAAAGAATCATTTCAAATTTTGAGATTTTTGGACGTATCACATCGACAAATTAAGATAGAAATACAATGAATCTTGATAAACTTTGCAAATTATATGTTGGAAATTTTAGTTTTTTTTTTTCTCGCTTTATTGGCAATGGACATTAGTCCTTCAGCCACATACAAATTGAAAGGTATTACGTTTAAATATTAATATTATTTTTACTTACATAATCTACCAATATATTGGTTTCCAGTCGCGAGCAACACCTTAACACACGTAGGAAACTGAATACCTGCTTTCATCCCACAGGTCATTATTACAAAAACTCTTACAGCCGAAAAATATGTGATCGGGATCTGCGACCTCGTTATCAAGAGAACATAGTGGAGAATCTGTTAGCCTATTTTATATAAATGAGACGGAAAGCAGCCTTATCAACTAACTCATTTCCATAGATGCCACTATGTCCTTTCGTCCATATAAATATAATTTTAACCTTTTTAACTTCTAACTGATTAAGCAAATTTTTTATCTTACATATAATACAATTATCAAAATGTCTTGTTGTTATATTTTTTATGCTCTCTAACACCGATTTTGAGTCAGATATTATTATTGCACTTTGTACCTTATTTTCCGCACACCACTCCAAAGCTTTATGTATAGCGACAGCTTCAGCTGTAAAAATGCTACAAATCTCTGGTAATTGAAATTTACACATTTCTTTATTATTTTCTATATAGAAGGCACTACCGACTCCTTTCAGATTTTTTCTTCCCTCTGTGTAAATTATTGTATTTACTTTATAACTGCTAATTGCAGAAAGTAAGGAAGTTTTATTATAAGAGGGTAATTCATTATAGTTCGGAAATATGACGGAGGACTTTAAAAAAATTGATTCGTAGCTATGTTTAAACACAGGTAACTTATTTGTTGTTTCAATAAATTGACTAAATTCATTGGTTTCAAGAAAAGCAGTTGGAAATAAAGGTGAGTTTTTTATTCTCCAGTAGCGGTTTGTTAAAATTTGTGTGTTCAAGTTACTGATTTTAATCATTAAATACGTAAGGGTGGTTCATTTGCTTCCGCCAGAATTGCATTAGTAGAAGAAGATTTTATTGCTCCGATACAAAGTCTTATTGCTTTGTATTGTATACGATCAACTTTTTTTTAAATTTGTGTTTGATGATGATCCGTAAAAAACACAGCCGTAGTCAATAATAGCTCTGATAAAATAGTAATGCTATTTGTGGGGCAGCGCCCCAAGATTTTTTGGTAACACAACGAAGAATGTTTAACCCTTTTTTATATCTGTTTCCTAAATATTCGATATGGCTCGTCCAAAGCAGTTTTGAATCTAATACCATACCGAGATATTTATATTCAGTGACAACAGGTATCTTTCAATCTAATAACTGTATATGTGTACTTGTACATTGATGGCACATAAAAGCAGATTTTTCCGGCGACATTGTGAAACCCATTTCAAATAACCACTCTTTTACTATATGTGATAAAATCATTTAAGCATTGCTCATATTTCCTACGACTGGTATATATACAGATATCATCTCTATATTGTACCAACTTAATATTATTATTATTGTTATTTAATTTGTTATGCAATTCTAACGTATGGATATTAAACAGCATGGGGCTTAGTATTGAACCTTGTGAGAGACCGTTGTATACTAATTTGGGCTCACGTAATTCGTTGAAATGGTTCCTGACATATATTTCTCTGCCATTAAAAATCTCATAAATGTTATAAGCTGTCCTTCCACCAATACCTAAATTAGTCATTTTATTAAATAAAATTCCTAAGTCCACTGAATCATATGCGCCTTTTAAATCCAAAAATAAGCAGAAAAAATAATCGTTTTTTGAATGGGACAGTTGAATATCCGTAATAAATTCAACCAAGGCGTCGCGGGTTCCTAATCCTCTCCTGTAACCAAACTGTGTCCTAGGAAATAATGACTTTGTTTCAAGGTAATATTCTAATCTCAGTTTGATCATTCTCTCGAATGTTTTTAATATACATGACATCAAAGAAATTGGTCTGAAAGAAGAAGGTAGTCCTGGATCTTTGCCTGTTTTTTGAATTAATACAATAACGCACTTTTTTAATTCTGTCATTATTTCACCTTTTAACCACCAATCGTTAAAGATATTTAAAAGTGTTTAAGTTAAAATTACCGTATAGTATAGTTTAGTATTTTAGGTGCAATTTTCGGGATATTGTTAGAAAGCAGTATTTAAATCCTGGTAGTAACATAATTTGTTTTAAAGGCGCGTCCACATTTTGCCGATTGGCATCATTCGGCTAGAGGAAATCGGCAAAGCCGAATTAATGTAGACGTGCCGGTCAGCCTCACCAACTCACTAAAAGACGATCCGAAATATGCCGAACCCAAACCGGTCCAACTCGGACCGGTACAAAGAAAGCCGAACCGAACCAAAATAAAGTTCATCGTGTGGTCGTTTTGATCGGCTTCAGTCGAGCTTTAACCGCCTGTTGGTTTCGAAAATATTTTTCTAGTTTCTATTCTTCTGGTTTCGTGAGTGCGAATATGAGTGACAAGTGGACTGTTGAACAGACATTATCATTTATTGACTTATATCGCGAACGTGCATCACTCTGGGATTCCACCAACTTGGAGTACAAAAATAGAAACCGGAGACATAATACCCTAATGGAAATTGTCGTTTCATTCGGTATATAGAAACAAGACGTGGAGCGAAAAATAAAAAATTTGAAAAGTCATTTTGCAAGGGAAAGGAAGAAAAAAGCCGAAACAAGAAGAACTGGAAGTAGCGCTGACGAACCCTACGTGAGCAAATGGTTTGCTTACCAAGCTTTGCTGTTCCTAGCGGAAACGAATAAACCAAGAAACACCGTGAACAATGTTGAGGTTAGTTCGTATGTTTTTTCTAGAATTTATAACGTTTTAGAATTTAATAAGAAGGATGTATTCTGCTAGAATTTATTTACACTACAAACTGATTCTTTTTATTGTAAAGATACAGCCTCAATTAACAGGTATACTTGTACACAATTATTGGAAACGGAGCTCACTCTGTGGAGAAACAAAATATTTAGCAAATTCGACCCTGACTGCATGAGCCATTAAATTATTTCTTCTTGGAACTCCTGCTGGGTCGCGTAGTTGAGAAGTGTCTTGCCTCCAAAGTCCAGGAGTAAGTTCTTCAATTTCGAAAACTCGCAGTCGAACAGTCTGACAGAATTTTAGACAGTTTTGAAGATGCTTTTTCTCAAAAAGTTATGTAGATAAACAGAAGCTATGGTCATTTGAAACACTCAAAAACTGGTCGATAGCGCTCCAAATGCATTTTCTGAAACCTTGCGAGTCCTGATCAATCTGTAGTCAAATATCCTTTTATTTCATCCTTTGTTGTGTAACCCACTGTAGGGTTTCATTATATTTGGAGTGAGAGAAAAAGCATCGTCCGCAACTATGAAATACGGAATAGGGAGACTTTGTCCAGGCAAGGGGCGTGGTGAAGGAATATGTTAAGTGTTTTCTTCAAGTCCTTTCTTAAACAACTTATTGTTAAAGACTCCACCATCGGAAATTCTTCCTTGGCAACCTACATTCAAGTATATGAAATTAGAATTCGCGTCAACTACAGCGAGCAAAACGATACTAAAAAACCCCTTGTGGCTGATAAATTCTGAGCCTGTATAAATAAGAGCTTCCACAACGAAGTGCTTGCCATCTATGGCTCCGATACAGTTTGGATAGTTCCATTCTTTGTTAAATTTTTGGGCGATTGCTTCCCATTCACCTTTACTTTGGAGCATCTGAAAATTAAAAAAAAATCTATTTAAGGATTCACCAGCCCATGATGAAGGAGAAAAGGAAAAACAAGTTGAAGACCTTAAAAAAGGAAAAATCAAGACCAAGCTTCATCTCAACCATCAGCTTCTCAACAGGACCAGCTAGCTGTGATTACCCCAACGAAAGTGCCAAAAACCAAGGATTTCAAGTTGCCTAAAACACCCAAAACCAAATCCGCTAAACGGAAGCTTACAGATAATCTTGCCTCATCCAATACACCTATTTTGAATAAACCATTGAATCTTATGAGATTGATCCAGTCAAGAAGAGTTGACAGCAAAAGCAAAGATAAATATTCGTTGTTTGGCGAACAAGTAGCAATGAAGCTACGCAGGATAACTTCTTTGCGAAAAATATTTATGGTGCAAAATTCCATAACACAAGTCCTATTTGATGTTGAAATGGGGATGTACGTACCTCACACTGCACAATCTGGAGCTACGTATGGCAACATACAACCATCTACTTCAACCAGGCTATTTTCTGCTTTCTCTTCGTCGTATCAATCGTCACCTGGCATATCACTCAGCCAGACGCAGAATGATTCACCTCACCCATCCCATTCAGCATCACCTTCATATTCCCAATTGCCTTCACCTTTATGTTCCCAATCGCCTTCACCTTCATCCATTTTTTCTGATATCATTATTGAACCATTTTCACGTGACATCCTTCAAACGCCTTACCTACATGAAGATGAAATTCAGCACTGACGCTTCGTTCTCGTTAATTTTTGTCATCTATTTAAAATGAATTAAATGAAATATTTTTTTTAAATTTTTTTTACTACTAGTAATAACTATATTTCTTACCTTAACGTAATCTTAGAGGACCTCGACAAGAGTGTTACACACCTCCGGCACTAAACAAGAAATAGCTTGTTTGAAAATCTTCATCTTGCTAATTCTCAACCCCATCATGGTGAACAGGTGTTCGAAATCAGAACTGTTCTGAAAAAGTTGCAGAATTCCACGTCGTTCCTGTACTCGAAATTTACTTCGTCAACCTCATCAAGTAGTAAGTCCCTCATGAATTCACGGGCCCTGTACTTTTTCCTCCTCTGAGGGATGCTGGAGCAAATCCAAAATCTCCGAGGGCGACGGGCACGAAGGTTTCCTGCAGTTAATTCTATAACTATTGCTGCTGAAGCAGCTAAAACTACATCATCATCATCAGACAGAGAAGGGAAAATTAATGCATCGACCAAGAAACAAACGTGGAGCCTTCAGACTAAAGCCTTCGTAGCTTCTGCAAGTTGTGATATCAAAGCAGATGGCTGCGACAGTCGAACTCACATATTTGAAGTCAATCAGATTCCGACTGTCGTCGGCACACACATATTGTAATCCCATCTCAGCTATCGAAAACTTGGAGAATAAATAAAGGATCTTAGGAATGTATTCTAATACAATCATAGATTGACGTCCTCCTATATAATGTCACAAAAGTGGCTTTAAGGAGAGTTGAGAGAACTGAGATGGGAAGAAAATTTGTGTCTTTCCAAGTGTTTCACTAGTACCAAACTTTTATCTGGAAACGTCAAAACGGATTTTTGATCAAACAGAAGGAAAAGATCGATTATAAGCGAGATTCTTCTCCATGATAACGCCCGACACGGTTGTCCAAAAGCATTGGGAAATATTACCTCACCCTCCCTATAGCCCTAAATTGTTATATTTTCATTTATTTAGAACTTTTAAAAAAGCTTTGAGGGGCCTAAAAATAGAATATGATGACAAAGTGGAGATCATTCTGCAACACTGACTTGCTACTCAACCAGAAACCTTATGTAAAAAAAATATTATGAACCTCACAAGGAGGTGTTAAAGATATAAAGACATAGATTGAGAATATGTTGAAAAGTAATATATGTTGTTTAATGAAATTTTTGATTCAATAAAGATTACAAACAAAAATACCGATTACATTTGAACTACCTAATCAATATAGTCATGTAACAGATGTCACCAGTAGAGCAAAACCTCTATCAAGTCATATTAAGTAAAAACATAGAACTGAAAATTTTATAGAATATAAAATATTTAAAAATATAAATTACAATTTATTTTCAGTGTTGGGAATCGGTTATTGTTCAGCCATTATTTACAGAATATAATAATAAATAGTAAAGAGTGAATGATGAGTATTAGTAAATACAGTTAATAATTTTAATAAAATAAGGAAAGGATAGAAATTTAAATTTCTTTAGTTTGAATTTGTTCGTTTAAACAAATACAACTCGGATCATTAAGATCTTCAATAATTTTAAAAATAAAATCAAATTCATTCTTACTTTTTTTACATTGGATTAATAAAACAAAAGTAGAAAACTTAATGCTTGGTGGAGAGTATGTGATTAGCAAATGGCCAAAGAGTATTATTAATATCTGTATCTTTGAATTAATTAATGGTCTTCAGTACTATTTGTAAGTCGTGTCTTCATCAAAGCATTTGGTGAAACTAGTCGTACCTCTATTTATGAATAAAATATTTAGGATTGGTTATGAGTTTTTATTAAGAAAATTGGCCATATTTAAAATGATGCATGATATTTCATTAATGAAAATAGATACATAATTTTTTATGCAAATTATACTTCATCTTTTAAAAGACCGATATCGAAAATCTATATCTATTAAAACAAATAAATAAAATAAACCAGAAACATTGAAGAATATATCAATCCCCAAATATATATCAGTATCTGTAAATAGAAACACAAGATTAAAGTGTTGCATTAATTCTTCCAACCCCCACAATTCACATTCAAATTTTAAATTGTCGATAATCCTTCATAATATCACCCATGATCGCATTCATAGTTGATTCCCAAGTTTTTGCATAATTACAGGATTCCCAACGATTAACAAAGATTTATGTAAAAGCTGACATTCCCACGCGACAAGGGGTCGCTGAGGGGTGGCAAATAGATCCTCCAAATGTATTCCGTTACGGCTCTGCAGCACGTGGCATCCCCCAATGGATGGATCAACCGACATTTCGTTTGCTAAACACGATTCGATACAGTGCCACTGGCCTACTATACTAACGTTGTTGAAAAGTGTAACGAAATTGAGTGGTTTTTGAAAACATTGCCGTAGATTGACGGTTTTGGCAAAGTTTTAATATTGTTATTATTGCTAATACAAGCTTATGATTGTTTGTAAATAGGCATATAGAAGCACATGAGTACAAACTGGCAGATATCTCCAACAAATGGAACCCACAGGAAAATAAGAAAACACCAGAATAACACATAAGGTAACTAATCTCATATTAAATATGGGACCATATTACATGACACAATGTCTAATTTTCAACAGGTTCTTGCAGGTCCATTACAACTGGAAAGATGTAAATAGGAAGGTAAATACATAATTAATTACAGGTTACTAATGGTATACGGATGGATCTAAAACTAAATAGGGAATAGGCTCTGGCATACATGAAGTTAAACCCAAATGCGACACCGCTGTCTCATTAAAAAATTAAGCCACTGTATTTCAAGCTAAAATACATACAATCGAAGTTTGTTTATGAGAAAATTTGAGAAGTACTCACAAAAAACAAATCATCTTAATTTTCTTAGACAGCCAAGCATTCTTAAAGGTCCTTGGTTCAAATATAATCTAGTCAAAGCTAGTATGGAACTGCTATAAAATACTAAATTATCTGATCACCCAAAATAAGGTAAAACTAGCGTGGGAATAAGGGCATAAATGTATCTAAGGAAATGAAGAGACTGATGAACTCAGTAAGCTTACGCAAAGGAGAAAATCTATGGCTGCTGATGTACTATGGCATTGTGGGATTACTAACGAAACGTTGCTTGCTGAAATACCTTTATTTAATGGAATAACACATTAATTCCACCGCGTTTAGAATTTGCATGGAAGAGGCATAAACCTCATATCATGTTATCTTCGAACGTACAGCTTTTAATAGACAGCAGCAGAGTATCTCCGGGACACTTGGTAGGGAAACTGATAAAATTAACCAAAGGCACAGGACTATTTAAAGAGTATACTTGAATACTGGTAAAGCAGGGAAATACAGTAGACCCAAGAAGTCGCAGTGTGCTGGTACATCTAGGCTTACCTGCATATAACCAATAAAGATAAAGGTAAAGAAGTAGGCATCATGAGGATTTAATGCGTTATGATCTTTTGAGACTTATTAATGGACGATGGACAATGTACATGACGACACTTCGTCTGTCTGCATGAACAATGTACATGACGACACTTCGTCTGTCTGCAAGGCATGGCTTTGATAATATCGTGCATAGGAATGATGAGTTTTGCTATTCTAACTACCTATTAAATTATGTAATCCAAATCACGTGACTCTAATTGGCGAATGCTTGACAAAAACACTTCTGGTAGATTGGTCTCAGTTTGTGTATTATTTGGTTGGAAGTAGTTTTCGGTGTATTTAGTTAAACTAATGAAAAAGTGAGTTTACAAAACTTTGTTGGTTTAGATTAGTATTATGCCGTTGGTTTAATTTGTTGAAAGTGCGTGAAGAAAGAAACAAATTTTTCGAAGGTTACAAATACTACTTAAGAAGTTCTAATAGGAACGGTAGCAATCATTGGAGGAATACCAATTTTAAATCCAGGAAAGGCTATAGTGGAATCATTACTACCTACCATTAGTCTAAACCTGGGATTACTGGTATCAGTCTTCCAGGCTAAAGTAACAGCAATAAATCCTTATGCAAAGGTTATGCTAAATAACTTTCTTGGAGATAAAAGGGTCTTTATTATGACGAAAAGTACTAAAAAGGGTAGAAGTAAAATCTATATCATTATTTAATTCCCAACAATCCCTATAGGTCTTGGTAGAATATAACAAGGTCACCCTTGAATGGATGTAGGGACGTATGGCAGTGTATACAGAGATGATCATTTATAGAGTGTCCATCCAATAACAGATAAAATTAACTGCTAAATAACAAGAGCGAACTTAAGGCCGCAATAGGACTCTTTATAAAGACAGAGCAGTAGGTATGTATTATTAAAATTAAAACCAATAATTACAAAGTATGGCAGTAAGTTAAATTTCATTTGGAAATAAACATATTTTTTAACCATATTTCTTAATAAAATATCGAATTATGTATTTAATTAAATTTCAAAACGCTCGTATAAAAATTGTATTTATTTCGTCCCTGATTTGCTTCAACTGTTACATTTTGTAACGGTTAGAACCGTTATTTCGTTATTTTGACACAACCACCTCTTACTTAAATGTTATTCGTCGTCTTGTGAGGTTTATTTTTGATTTGGTTGACAGCGACAATCAACTTGATTTTATTTTAATTTATCTTGGTCATCCGAAGTATTTTTATTTATCTTAAAATCCGTCTGATTTTATGAGCTCATGGCTATATCTAGACGGTTTTGAATTCATCTCAAGACGTTCTGTTTCAATCTCTAGGCGGTTTTCGTTCAATCTCTTGACGGTTCGAGTTTGAGTTCAAGTTTGAATACTGAAGATCATTCATACGTTTCATCACTAGACATTTCATCCTAAGTTGGTTGAGTTTAAATACTATATATCTTAAAGATCATTCACGTGAAGAATTATGCAGAATTACCATAAAGGATTCCGAATCCCTTTGTGGAAGTTGCCTGATGATAAACCATGATTTACATTCCGTATATAACCTTATTTGCCAAAAAATAAGTGCTTACTCAATAAATCGTTTA